TCGTTGCAAATGGCAAGATCTCATTCGTTTTGATGGCTGCATAATATTCCATTGTTATATATACCACATCTTCTTTATCCATTCATCTGTCGATGGACATCTTGGCTCTTTCCACAGTTTGGCTATTGTGGACATTGCTGCTATAAACATTGGGGTGCATGTACCCCTTCGGATCCCTACATTTGTATCTTTGAAAAACACTGTCATTTGAACTAATTGATATTTACAGAGCACTACAACCAACAACAGCAAAAAAAAAAAAAAATCCTGTTTTTAAAGTGCACATGGGGCATTTACAAAGATAGAATATATTCTGAACTGCAAAACAAACTTCTTTCCAAAATGAAACTGAATTAGAAATCAATAGCTGAGGGGCGCCTGGGTGGCTCAGTTGGTTAAGCGTCTGCCTTAGGCTCAGGTCATGATCTCAGGGTCTTGGGAGTCCGCCCCATGTCGGACTCTCTGCTTAGTGGGGAGTCTGCTTCTCTCTCTCCCTCTGACCCTACCCCCTGCTCATGCTCTTGCTCGCTCTCTCTGTCTCTCTCAGATGAATAAATAAAAAATCTTTTTAAAAAAAAATCAATAGCTAAAAAATATGTGGTTAATTCTCTAACATGTGCTCCCTCCTTTGGCACTTGCAGGAGATTTAAACCACACAAGCCTCTGACATAAAAACCCCCTGCCAATTTCAGTTCCTTGCTTTTGCAAACCATTTTCAGACTTTCTTGGGAAACCTGCCCTGCTTTTCCTAGGAAGCTTCATTATGTGAGTAATAAAACTTTTCATAACCCTCTTGGGTGTGTGTGTGTGTGATCATCAGTCTTAACATCCCAACCAAATTTTGTGGGTGGTACCTGCAGATTGGAAAAGAAATGGGTATCACTATTCGCAACAGATAGGAATAGGTACCAATGTCTTTTTTCACAGGTGACAAGATCACCTATGTAGAAAATCCAATGGAATCTCCAAAATTCTAGTAGAAACACTAAGTGACTTTAGCAAAGTAATAGGCTACAAGATCAACATACAAACATCAATTGTATTTCTATATGCTGGCAAGGAACAACTGGAAATTGAAATTTTTAAAAATGCCATTTACAATAGCATCAAAAACTCTGAAATAGGGGTAAATCTGACAAAAGATTTCATTACCTTTATGTAAAAAACTACAAAATCTTCCTGAGAAAGAAGATCTAAATAGATGGAGACATATACTGTGTTCATGCGTCACAAGATTCACCATTTTAAAGATGTCAATTCTTCCCAAATTCATCTGTATTTTCAACACAATCTCAATCAAAATCTCAGATAGGGTTTTTTTTTCATTTCTGTTTTTGGTATAAGTTGACAAATTCCTTCTAAAACCTTTCCTAGGTGTTTACCTAAAAGAAATGAAAATTTATGTTCACACAAAAAATTGTACATGAATGTGGATAGTAGCTTTAGTTATAATGGCCAAAAGTTGGAAACAACTCATGTCCTTCAATAAGTGATTGACTAAAGAAAGTGTAGTATATATCCACATGGAGTACTACTCAGCAATAAAAAGGAATGAATTACTGAAACATGTAACAACATATCTGAATCTGCAGGGAACTAAACTCCATGAAAAACCAGTGTTTAAATTACATATTTTATCATTCCATTTATCTAATATTCTTGAAAGGTAAAATTACAGAGATGGGAGAACAGATTAGGGTTGCCCAGCCTTAAGGAGGTGGCTGTGGGCAGAAAGGAAGTGGATGTGGCTACAAAAGGACACATGAAGTATCTTCGTGATGATGAAAATATTCTAAATCTTTACCATATCAATGTCAATATCCAGGTTGTGATACTATATATAATTTTGGAAGATGTTACCATTGGGAGAAACTGGATAAACGGCACATGGGATCTCTGAATTATTTCTTACAACTGCATGCAAATCTAGACTTATCTCAAATAAAAAATTAAAATTTTAAAAAAGCCAGGCCAAAAAGAAAATAAATTCTAAAGTAGTAGACCAAAACCCAAATACATTAAATGTAAATTCACTAAATACGTCAAATTAAAGAGTAAGATTCATTATTTTTAAAATAATGCTGTTTAATAACAGACACACCTTAAAAATAAACCAGGTTAAAAGCAAAAGAGTAGAAAGAGATAAACCATGCAATAACCCAAAGAAGGATGGTGAAACTATAGTAATATCAAAATAGAGTAAGATAAAAAAGCAATTATTATAAATAAAGAATAAATTCCATAATACCCTGTTGGGTAAATCCATAAGAAAAGCTATCACAACTCAAAATATCTATCATCCGTAAGAGAGCTTCAAAATATGTAAAGCAAAGTTAACAGAAATAAAAGGAGAAATAGACAAATCTACAAGTATAGAAAATCAGGAAGCTGGAGGGACATAGAACAGCTAACTCTTATCATCTCAACAAAATGATAAGCAAAAATAATTCCTTCAGTAGACAGAAAAAAATTTATTGGTAGAGACAAAAGACAAGCAAAACTTATTTGGAGGACATGTTCTCTCTCATGTAGTGTTTGACTGGGAGTCTCTTGTCCCTCCCCAGACATAGATTCACACTACTCGGAAAAAGTGCCATTTATCATCTAGTGAAAGACTATCTTTTGCATCCTAGAGGTAACATAGCCATATGGCCTTTTTTTTTTTTTTAATATTTTATTTATTTGACAGAGAAAGACACAGTGAGAGAGGGAACACAAGTAGGGGAAGCAGGCTTCCCGCTGAGCCGGGAAGGCTCAGGACTCTGGGATCATGACCTAAGCCAAGGGCAGACGCTTAACACTGAGCCACCCAGGCGCCCGGTCATATGGCCTTTATATAGCTTCATGGTAAGCTTCTGAGTCAGAAGCCTCTCCCATACCTTCAACAACCCCAAGCTTCTGATACTCAGCATGCTGTAGTCTGCGGCATTTTGTTCTCTTTTCCAACATACCATGGCAGAAAAGCATTGGGCTAGTGTTTACATAGCCATTTTCTCCATTTTAGTCTCTACTGCAAAATTATTGCAGAGTCTTCAACTCTCATTGTCAACTGTTTTTTAATTTTTCTGAAGTTAGAGCCGAACCCACATGAAATGCTGAAAAAAAGAATGAGATCTTTAGGGCAAAAGTGACATCTAGTCTGGTTTGCTAGATTTTAGGTTTTTGCTCCTGGTTCTTTCTCTGCTTTCTCCCGTACAGTTTTCACTCCCGATGTTGCGGCTATTTAGAATTCCTGACATGACCTTTCCATTTGATGGCCCAATGTCTTTGCCCTCTTCAACAATATCTTTCTAAATTACCAATATCACCTTTGTCCATGTAACACACACCGAATGTGGACTAACACAGAATTAAAAAGCTTGGGTGTTTCAGTAATATGGATTCACAAACCTCTAAAATTCCTCCCATTTATTGTCTTGGTGGCTGTGGTTTATTGGCGTAAACTTTAAGTTTCAATATTGTAACAGGGGCCAGTCAGAAAAGCAGAAACACAAAGAATTAACACCAGCACATTGTCTCTGAAAAAACTGCAGGGTCGCAATCAAACGGTCACAAGAACATACAACTTGACCATGGTCACACAAATGGTCGCAAATTCGCACGACCCCCAAAGTCACTGGACCTCAGAGTCTCACCACTCCTTAGACACCCAACCCCAAGCTCCACGGCCATTATCTCCCATACACGGTCACACAACGCCACGCCTCTCTTTTCTGACTGCCGCCAGAAGCTTGAGGCTCAAGGTGGTCCGGCCACAGGCCCCTGATTTTTTCCCACACCTTCAACCCCCCTGAAGTCCGGCTGGGGCCTGGACCAGACGGAACTAAACCGACTCAGAGGTGCTTCCTTCACGGATCAGGCACCGTAACCCGGGAACAGGAGACCCAGCCAACCATGAGGAAGAGACTTTTCGCAGAAAAGTGACTTGGCCGTAAAGGCCTCTGGGAAATGTAGTCCGTAGCCTAAAAGTTGCGAACATTTCCAGATTCTTCTCAGCACCAAGTTGCACTCCCGGGCTCCGAGTAGACTGCCGGGCTCAAGCGAAGCAGCTGCAGCAAAACTCAGCTGAACCTCCTCGGCAGATCTGGGCGTCCTTAAACGCAGCGGTAGATTATTCCGGCTCCTCGCCGGCAGGAAAGCCGACCCGCCCCCTTGAGCCGCAGGGGCCTCTGGGAAGTGTTGTCCGGCGTCTAACGGACCGAGGCTCGTGCTGCCCTCAGCCACAGCTGGCGCTGACCTTAGAGGCGTCTCTGACTCGGTCCGCACCGGCGGGACCATTTGGGCGGCATTGAGGTGTGGAATTGGGCCTGTGTCCGCGGGCTGCGTGGTGAGTCTTCGGCAGGCCGCGAGCTCCGGGTCTGGGACCCTTTGTGCTGGTTGGGAGTAGGGGCCTGCGGACCCGGTGCCTGTGCTGTTGGAGGAGGATGCCGGCAGGGCTGTGCCGGTGCGGATGGTTCCCTGAGGCCGTGGGAGTGGCGCGTGAAGGACTGTGAGTGTGGAGTGATATGACCGTTTGCCAGAGTGTAGCCGTGAGAACGTGCGTGTGAGCGCATTTTGTGGATGTGCTTTTCCTTTTATGTTTCATTAGGAACGTGGATGCGAACGTGCGTGATGTGGGCTCGTGAGTGCATGAGAAACCCCGTGGATGAGAGGTAGAGTACGGTTGCGTGTGTAGATTCGTGCGACTGTTTGTATCAGGGCTTCTTTGCTTTGCCTTATGGTCATTGGAAATACGTTTTTATGAGAGCTATCAGTGTCCCCAACACCTTCAGCATTTATTTGTCTTAAATTTTATTTTTGTATATTAGCTACGTTGTTTTGTGTGCGTACTAACTTCTTGCTCCTTGCCCCCGATTGCCCGCTCCAAATCGCAAAATACAGAAAAGCTCAAAGAAAACAAAAATCATTCATAAGTCTGCCAGCAACTATCAAAATTCACTTTCCATCTTTAACCCCCTCTGCGAATACATGCACATGCATTCATATATTAATATATATGTGCATAATAGCTTGGAAATTAGTATCACACTATACGTACACTTCTGTAACCTACCTTTGTCATTTAATAATACACAGTATCTTTCCATCTAAAAAGTTATAAATTTATGTCGTCATTTTAAAGTTTTTCAATACATTTACCCCTGTTGATGGGTAATTTGTTTTTTCCAGTTTCTTGCCATTATGAACAATGTGTTTATCAGCAACTAGTTGTCATATGTTATAACGCACTTTTCTAATTTGGGGGGGAGGGGCAGGCTTCTACAAGTAGAACTGATAGGTCAGTATGTGCTTATTAAACACTCCCTAAGTCTAGGGGCACCTGGGTGGCTCAGTTAAGCATCTGCCTTTGGCTGGGGTCATGATCCCAGAGGCCTGGGATCGAGCCCCGCATCGGGATCCCTGCTCGGCGCAGAGCCTGCTTCTCCCTCTCCCACTCCCCCTGCTTGTGTTCCCTCTCTTGCTGTCTCTCTCTCTCCGTCAAATAAATGAATAAAATCTTAAAAAAAAAAAAAACTCCCTAAGTCTATCCAATTATTCTCCTGTAAGGTTCGCATAATTTACACTATTATTGGCATAGTATAAGATTGCCTGTATTCATACACCTTGATAACAATGGTTATCTACTATTAGTAATCTTTGCTAACTTCATAGATGTAAAATTACTTTAATTTGCAGTTGTTTGGTTACTGCTGGTCAAGCATTTTAAAAATCTTTTTGAGTGAATTATGTATTTTCTAAAATATTTTTCTAAAGCAGTATTCTGTTTTCAAATTTATTTTCTAGATTCTTCAGGTATTCATTTATTCATCAACACACCATTTATTGGATGCTGTCTGTGTGACAGGAACAATTCTAGATGCTTCAGATATAGCACTGAACAAAAGAGAAACTCTCTGCTGTCATGGTACTTACACTGTTGTGGGCCAGATAATACATGAGGTAAGTGAGTTAAATATAACATATAAGGACATACAGAATTAGAGAACGGAATTAAGAGTTTTAGATGGGGTAGCCAGGGAAGGCATCCTGAAAAGGTAGTAATAAAGATTTGAAGGAAGTAAAGGAGCTGTTCATGCATATAACTGAGGAAAGGTTATTCCAGGCAGCGTGAACAACAGTTACAAAAGTCCTGAGGTGGGAACATACCTGTTAACAGCAAAGAGGCTGGTGTGACTGAAATAGAGCAAATGAGATGAAGACTAGTGAAATGAGAGCGGGTAAATGGAGGGAAGGAGGGCAGATCAGGTTGGATCTGGATAGGCTATATTATGATTTTGGCTTTTACTGTGAATGAGATGGGAAGCTGTTGGAGAGTTTTGATTATGGGAGTGATATTATCTGCTTACGATATAAGTGGATCACTTTGGCTGCTCTGATAAGAGTACTACAGGAGGAAGGATGGGGTGGGGGGCAAGGGCAGAAGCAGATAGACCAGTTAGGAATACAACACAATAATTACAATAATCTAGGGAAAAGATGTCAGTGACTTGGACTAGAGTAGTAAAAATGGTGAGAAGTCATCACGCATTAGATAAAATTTAAAGATAGAGCTGATACAGTTTGCTGATGGAACTGATGTGGAATGTGTGAGAAGATGACACAATATTTTTTAATCTGAGCAACTTCAAGAATGGAGTTATTATGAGAAAGGAACGAAAGTAGGAAAAACTGACTTGGGGCATAGGGAGATAGATTTCAGTTTGGAATTTAGTATATGAAGCATGAGATGTCCACTAGACATTCAAGTAGAGATATTAAGTTGGCAGTAGGATATACAGGTCTGAAGTTCAAAAGAAGGATCTGAGATCTAGGCTGAAGACATAAATTTGGGAATTATCAGTATATAGATGATATTTAAAGCGAATGGACTGAATGAAATCAGTTAGAGGGTAAGGTAGGTAGAAAAAGGTAGAGGTAAAGGACTTACCTCTGGGTCACTCCAGCAAAGTCTGGGAAATGAGAGGAACCAGCAAAAAGGACTGAAAGGAACTAGCTCGAATGGTTGGAGGGAAGCTAGGTGAGTTTGATATACTGGAAACCAAAGGAAAAATGTGTGTTAATTAGAACTGTGTCAGTGCTGCTGATAGGCCAAGTAAAATGGGGACTGAGAAAGGAATGTTGACATTAGCAACATGAAAGTTATTGGTGATCCTGAAGAGCAGTTTCAGTGGAGTATGGGGCTAAAGAGAGAAATGGAGAAAAAAAATTGGAGATACCAAGTATAGACAACTCGGGTTTTTCTTTAAATGGAAGAGGGGAGGGAAATGGAGGGGTGGATGGAGTTGGATTTAATCATAGTGTTTGTTTCATGAACTAATTAGGAATAATGTGAGAGGCAAGAGTGTCTAAGTTGGCAGGAATTAATTATATTGATTGACTGAATTTTAGGCCAGGTAGGTAGAAAAGTCAGGATAGGAAGGTGAGGGACAGTGGAAAATTGGTAGAACGAAGAAATGGAAGTTCCTGATGGGGTTGAGAACTGTTCGGTTGAAATACTAGGGAAGTGGGGCAGAGAGAGAGGAGGATATTTTTCCCTTTAGGAAGGGAATATCCTTCCTTTAGGAGGATATTTTCCCTCCTTTTTACCACCATACCAGTTTAAGAAAACATGGAAGATTATCAGCTGTATTTCAGTAGGGGTTACAAAATGATGGTATTCGAGTTTTATATCCCTTCTTCATTTACTGGCTGGAATATTTTTTAAAGAAAAAATTTCTGTCATCAATTCTTTGGTTACCTTGAGGAAAGTTTTTACAGGAAAAGCAGAATAAATTGATTCTTTCCCTTTATAGGTTTCAGGCTATTGAATTGGTTCCTTAGCATTTTCCAGTGAGTTATTATTTTACTGTTATATATGCATGGATTTTAACATATTTGGTATGATTCAAACCATTGTGGTTATTTTCTTTGTGAAGCTCATATTTTCCCACCTTTGGTTATCTCTTTGAGATGGTTTATAAGTCTTTCCGACACATCTCCAGAAGTCTTTGATAGTGTTCTACATTTCTGGTATGAAAGGTTATTCCAAGATCATTTTGAACATTTCCTGCCCTAGGCATGGAATCAAGCATTTCTTTATGGTGCCCTGATTCCTTTTATTGGGAAATGATATTTTGAGACCACAGTTACAGGCTTATTGTTACTGGCATGGTCATTGTTTCTAGACTTTTTTTTTCTTGGTGGACAGAGCTAGGAAATATATTCTTTTTATTTATTTTTTTAATTTTTAAAAGATTTCATTTATTTACTTAGAGAGTGTGGGGGGAGGAGTGGAGGGAGAGGGACAAACAGACTTCGTGTGGAGCACAGAGCCTGACTCGGGGCTTGATCCCACCACCCTGAGATCATGACCTGAGCGGAAATCAAAGTTGGATGCTCAACCGACTGAGCCACCCAGGCACCCCCTTTTTATTTTTTAACAGCCTGATATATTTTATCCATCTAAGGTGTATAATTCAATGTTTTTTTAAAAAAATTCACAGGTACACCCATTACCATAATGTAATTTTAGAGCATTTTTGTCCCTACTAAAATACCCATTAGCAGTCAGTGTCCTTTTCCCCTCCCTCATCCTAGTTTAATCAACCACTAATCAGCTTTCTGTCTCTATAAATTTGTCTATTCCAGACATTTCATATAAATGAAATCATACAATATGTCATCTTTTGTGACTGGCTTCCTTCACTTGGCATATTTTCAGTGTTCATTAATTTTGTAGCAGGAAATATATTCTTAACAGGATGGACTTCATGAGTTTATATTGCTATTTCCAATTCTAAAAATTTAGAATTACCCGGTTTTTACTTTGGTTTTATTTTTCTATGTTTTATTTGCTCGTCCATCCATGTTTTTATTTCTGTGGTATTGGTTGTTATTTCTCCTCTCTCACTGTGATTTTATTTATTTGAGTCCTTTCTCTTTTCTCAGTAATTCTGGTGAGAGGTTTATCAATTTTATTAATTTTTTCAAAGAACCAGCTCCTGGTTTCATTGATCTGTTCTATTGTTTTTTTAGTGTCTGTGTCATTTATTTCTGCTCTACTCTTTATTATTTCCTTCCTTCTGCTGGCTTTAAGCTTTGTGGTGTTCTTTCTGCTTTCTTGCTTCTTAAGGTAGGCCTGTATTGCTGTATACTTCCCTTGTAGGACTGCTTTTGCTACATCCCAGAGGTTTTGAACCATTGTATTTTTATTTTCGTTTGTTTCCATGTATTTTTTTTTAATTTCTTCTTTGATTTCCTGGTTGACCCATTCATTGTTTTGTTTTTTTAAGATTTTGTTTATTTATCTGACAGAGCCCGTGTGTGAGCACAAGTAGGGGAGAGGCAGAGGGAGAGGGAGAGGCGGACTCTGCACTGAGCAGGGAGCCTGACACGGGGCTCAATCCCAGGACCCTGGGATCATGACCTGAGCTGAAGGCAGATGCTTAACTGACTGAGCCACCCAGGCACCCCGACCCATTCATTGTTTAGTAGCATGTTTAACCTCCATGTATTTGTGGTCTTTCAAGATTTTTTCTTGTGGTCAACTTCTAGTTTCATAGCATTGTCAGAAAAGGTCAAGGAGTCTTGTTTATATTCTATTTTGCCTCTACCATCTTGTTTCTCTCTACTCTTTTTTTTTAGTAACTTTTTTTTAAAGATTTTATTTATTTATTTGAGAGAAAGAGAGAGAGCATGAGAGGGGGGAGGGTCAGAGGGAGAAGCAGACCCCCCGCTGAGCAGGGAGCCCGATGTAGGACTTGATCCCGGGACTCCAGGATCACGACCCAAGCTGAAGGCAGTCGCTTAACCAACTGAGCCACCCAGGCGTCCTTTTTTTAGTAACTTTTAGAAATGTTTTAGTGTTACATTTCATTTTTTAATATGAGCAAATACGCTTAATGTGTGTATATTCATGCCATCCCTCTTAGATAAATTTTAGCTTACAATTTCCATGTTTTTTTTTTTAAACATTCTTTTTTTTTTAATATTTTATTTATTTATTCATGAGAGACAGAGGGAGAGAGAGAGGGAGAGAGAAAGAGAGAGAAGCAGAGGGAGAAGCAGGCTCCCAAGGAGCAGGGAGCCCGATGCGGGACTCGATCCCAGGACCCTGGGATCATGACCTGAGCCGAAGGCAGACGCTTAACCATCTGAGCCACCCAGGCGCCCCCAATTTCCATGTTTTTTTAATCTCACTGTTCTCAGCTCATCTTAAATTTGAAGATTGGCTTGACAAGTTGAATAAAAAACGTTTTTTGAATTGTTATTGGAATTATATTAATTTTATAGGTAATATTGGGAAAAGTGTTATTTTTATCATGCTCACTTCTATTTTTAAGCATATTTATTAACACTACTTTTATGAACATCAATAAATTGAATAAATTTTCTTGATTAGGCTCTTACACAGCTTTTGTTTGTAATATTCCTAGTACCTTAGTATTTTTCTTGCTTTTGTGATTGTGAATAGGTTAGTTATAATGCCACACAGATCTCCTACTGTGTTTAATTCACCTCTCCTGTTTAAGCATTTAATTGGTTGTAACCTTTGACTATTTTCCAGAATTGCTGTAAGGTTGATTCTGACAGGTTTTGCCAGCTCTTTCAGTTTCTGGGCAGACATGGAAGCCTAGAGTTTCCTACTCTTACATTTTTGCTGATGTCACTCCTATTCCTTTACTTTTAACCTATCTGAATGTTTATATTTAAAATGTGTTTCTTGTAGGCACATATAGTTGGATCTTGGTATAAGTAGGCTCCACGCCCAGATTGGAGTCCTACATGGGGCTTGAACTCATGACCCTGAGATCTAGACCTGAGCTGAGCTCAAGAGTCGGACACTTAACTTACTGAGCCACCTAGGCACCCCAGGTTCTTGGTGTTTTTATCCACTTAGCAATCTCTGTTTTTTCATTGGTGTGTTTAGACCATTTAGACTTAATATGATTATTTATATA